AAGCTCCCGGGCTTGCCCGAACTAGCCATCAAATCCAGGCAGGCCGAAAACTTGTCATCTTTCTACCTCACTCCTGTGTCTCTCTGCCAGTGTCTCCCCTCCCAGGAGAAACTGAAATCCAGAAAACTGTACTCAGAGTAAGAAAGCAATGATTGATTTCTTAAAGTCGTGTGTGTGTGTGTGTGTGTGTGTGTGTGTGTGTGTGTGTGTGTGTGTGTGTGTGTGCTGGTTTTTCCTAATAAAAAGTCGTAAATCCCGGGGCCAGGTGGAAAGCTGAGCAGGTAAGAGCATTCCTGCTCCCACATCCGGTTCCCAGCACCCACACTGTAATTCCCACACAGCCTGGAATTCCAGATCTGACATCTTCTTGTGGACTCCACAGGCATCTGTACTCACATCCATAAAGCCATATGCACACATAATTAAAATAATAAAAATATCCAGGCATGGTGTAGCACGCCTTTAATCCCAGAAGTTTAGAGGCAGAGATAAGATCTCTGTGAGTTCCAGGCCAGCCAGGGCTATACATTAAGACTATGTCTATAAATAAACAAGTTTAACTGTCTTTTAAAAGTTCTAAATTAGCTGGGTGGTGGTGGTACACACCTTTAATCCCAGCACTCAAGAGGCAGAGGCGGGTGGACTACTGTGAGTTTGAGGCTAGCCTGGTCTACAAGCAAGTTTCCAGACAGCCAGAACTGTTACACAGAGAAACCCTGTCTCAAAACCCCAAAACAAACAAATAAATAAAAGTTCTAAGTCCCAGCCACAGAGAGACACAAGATCAAGATTTATAATGTGGTAACTACCTTCCTTGGTATATAAAAAGAAAATAAGGTGTAATTGCCAATAACCATTAACTAGAAACATTTAGAAAAAATGAATAAATCTGAGTCTTCACAAAATTGAAGCTTATTTTGTTTTTGCCAGGTAGGAAAACTTGACATTGAACTAGAAGCACTTGGAGGACCCATAGGAATGTTTTCAAATGGAAGAAGCTTTTAGGGGGACCCCTTTTGACAACAGTGAAGCAAAGAATCATTACTTCATTAGCTTATCCGGATATATTGTCTTCCTTAGAGTGATTGTTGCTATGATAAAACACTGTGAGCCAAAGCAAGTTGGGGAGGAAAGGGTTTATTTGGCTTACACTTCCATGTCATAGTCCATCATTGAAGGGAGCCGGGGTGGGAACTCAAACAAGGTAGGAACCTGGAGGCAGGAGCTGAAACAGAGGCCATGGAGGAACACTGCTTCCTGGCTGGCTTCCTATGGTTTTCTCGGCTTGCATTCTTTTTTTTTTTTTTTTTAATTATTTAATGAATTTTATTCTTCGGCTTGCATTCTTATAGATCCCAGGACTACCAGCTGAAAGGTGGCCCCGCCCACAAATAGGCTTGGTCCTTCCACATCAATCACTAGTTAAGAAAATCCCCTACAGGCTTGCCTACTGCCCCATTTTATGGAAGCATGTTCTTAGCTGAGGCTCCCTCCTCTCAGATGACTCTAGCTTGTGTCAAGTTGACATATAACTAGCCAGCACAAATATTCAGTGCTCGACATTGCTCCAGAACCTAGGAGACTTAAGTGATCAAAATATGCTCTACCCCCATCTCAAAATACGCCCATCCCCCATTTCTAAATACGCTCTCCACCAAATCCAACTCCCAAGGTATTTAACTTCTGGTGACAGGAGTGTGAAAGTGCAGCTGGTGAGCAGATGAACGAGAAAAGAACAGCCTGCCAGACCCCAGATCCCAGGACAGAAACGCAGGATCACTGGGGGTGTGTAGATGACAAGCTGTCAAAAAGGCCTCACTCAGAAGATGACTTTCTGTTGTCAGGACTCAGAAATCCTTCCATACAGAGTGGAGGTCCCAACAAGAAAGAGAATAGCTATCTGTCCGTCCACCCCACAGTGATCCTGGGCACTGGAGGCCCCACATGGCTGCCCTCCTCTCAAAGATGAGAATCAGGCTATCTTCAGAGAAGACGTGACGGCGGTGCTGTGGGGTCCCTTCTCCGTGCAGGTAACCCGTGTACTGCTAAACTACGATCATATTTTGGTCACACCAGTCATAAATAGGAAGGGTCCCAAGAAGCTAATGAGAAAAGCAACAGGCAGAACAGGTTTAACCTCAGTCATTTGAATCCGCGAAGGAGAGAAAGAGAAGCCTGTTTGTCTTTACCTACTGCACATGGGTACATGTAAAACTAATAAACAGGGCTTTTTGCAGAACATCGAAAGAAACATAGCTGATATCCATTAATGCAGTGAGACATTTTAAAGACCACAGAGAGTGAGGAAAGGGACTGAGCTCCATGCTTGACCTATGGAGGAGTAATGGGACATGCCCAGGGGAAGATGAAAGATTAGAGCGAGGAAAAAGGCCTAACCTAAGCTATCCACCCTAAATTCACGGGTTGACAGGTTCGGGGACCACATCTTTTGTCGGCTTTGGTTGAGTTTTCCTAAGGGGTCATTTGAAGGCATTAGGGTCATCCTGGGGATATATGGTCTTGAACTGGTAGATAGTAAGTCATAGTTTCTTCATATCTTTTTTTAACCAAGCTGGTGCCTAGTCCAGAAGAGTCTGACTTGAGTTTGCTGTAGAAATTGAGAAACCTAAATGACTTAAATCTTCCCTCCCCAAACAGATAAGGGAAACGGGGCATTGGAGACTGCTGGGAACAGGACTGACTGGGCTCTTTCATGTACGCTATTCGACCCTAGCTAAAAACCCCAGCTACATTACCTTAAGTGGCCACAAGATGGAGACAGATCCTCTCCACAGATCTTCAAGATGGCCGAGCAGCCCAGCTCTGCCAGCTCCTCCCGAGGGCCGACAGTTCCTTCCTTCCAGTTCTCCTCTCTGCGCAAGTCCAGCTTCAGTGGGTTCAGGTTCCAAAGAGTCGGCTGAGGAAGAAAGGGGCGAATGCACGTGTGAGGGTTCAGCTGCGCGCTCTCTCTCTCTCTGTCTCTGTCTCTCTCTCTCTCTGTCTCTCTGTCTCTCTCTCTGTCTCTCTCTGTCTCTCTCTGTCTCTCTCTGTCTCTCTCTCTCTCTCTCTCTCTCTCTCTCTCTCTCTCTCTCTCTCCCAGAGAGACTATTTATATAGCAATATAGCATATAGTCATTTAGCAAGCATCAGAGACCCGAACCACACACACACACTTTTTTTTTAACTTCTTCATTAAATGTTCAGAGTTAAAAAAAAAAAAAAAAAAAAAAAAAAAAAAGGTACAGAACAGCCTTACCTGAAACAACATCCTGGGACAGTGTCTGTCATACTGGGAAGTTACAAGTTTTCTCAGGGTCTGCAAAGCATAGATCTATTTTTACAGCCCATGTCTAGACTGGCTGCTCATGCAGTTGCAATGTGTTAGACAGTCTGAAACTATTTTTACCTTAACCAAGTTATGTGTAGAATCATTTGATGTTTTCTAAAAGGCAAGCTTTGCGAGATGTCTTATAATAAGCATGTAACGGTCTGATTACAGCATTTCTCTGTCCCTTAGTGTTTACAGTAAGGCCTGCCCTTTTCCTACGATCCCAGGAAGGAAGCTTCTGGTAGCGCATTCTTTTTCCATCAACCCACACCATTCTTACTGCCTCTGCATAGGCTTCAGTATGGGGCAATGGTGTGTCCAAATCAGGGAGATGAGCCACCGAGCTTTCCCCTCTTGGAGGAACCCACACCCTTCCGCCCCTCTTCTATGCTCCACACCCTGGGTAAGGGGGTTTTATAGAGGGAAGTGTGTCCTCAGGGTTAGCACACAGAAGCTGCGTTCCAGTGGGGGTGGAGAGATTGGAGGGGAGGGTGGAGGGGAGGGTGGAGGGGAGGGTGGAGGGGAGGGTGGAGGAGAGGGTGGAGGAGAGGGTGGAGGGGGAGGCTGAATCTCAAGCTGAACGTAGAACTGAGTAATGGTAAGCCCCCCCCCCCACACACACACACACACATGCCATGCTGGTTTTGAAGGCATAAAGAAGTCCCCAAGAACTGCCAAGGGTTGGCACCGAGACCAGGAGAGGTCACTGGTGAAGACTGAAGACGTCAGAGAAGTCGAACTTCCGCACCTTGTGACGGAGCTGTGTGTATTCGGGACGACAGAGCCGCAAGTACAGCTTCCGAAGCCGATCCGAACCTTTATCCTGAGTAAACCAGGTATCAGACATTTGGGGCGCTACTGCTGGACGTTGAGCAGTCTAACGTGACACAAAAACCTTAATAGCACTTATTTTAAAATTCTTTAGTCTCGTGTATTCCGTCTAAGGTTAATACAAACATAACCTCTTGGGAATAAAGTACTACTGCGTTTCTGGATGCAGAGGGACACACCTGGGACCAACCAAGGTGAGGACAAAGAAATAAGGAAACCCAGTCTATTTCTAATCAATTCCGTAAATGCAGCAAAATTAGTATCCTTGCATCCCAATACGCAGATACCGAACTGGTAGATTCTGCTCTACAACTTAAAGATTAAACTGGGCAGCAGACAAGCACAGCTCTCTTGCCGAAGAAGTGGGTGGCTCTGAAAAGAGCCTTTGGGAATCGCGATAGAGGCTTACTTGGCACGGCCACTTCACTTGGAGCTGGTGTACTTGGTGACGGCCTTGGTGCCCTCGGACACGGCGTGCTTGGCCAGCTCCCCGGGCAGCAGCAGGCGCACGGCCGTCTGGATCTCCCGGGACGTGATGGTCGAGCGCTTGTTGTAGTGCGCCAGGCGCGACGCCTCGCCCGCGATGCGCTCGAAGATGTCGTTGACGAACGAGTTCATGATGCCCATGGCCTTGGACGAGATGCCCGTGTCGGGGTGCACCTGCTTCAGCACCTTGTACACGTACACCGAGTAGCTCTCCTTGCGGCTGCGCTTGCGCTTCTTGCCGTCCTTCTTCTGGGCCTTGGTCACGGCCTTCTTGGAGCCCTTCTTCGGGGCGGGAGCGGACTTCGCGGGCTCAGGCATGATGAGAGAGACACAACTGGAACTCAACGCTCAGGCCTCTGGGCTTTGCCCTTTTATAAGGGTGTTATTTAAATAAGGCATGAAAAAGCACACTTTTGATTGAGTGATATTTCGGTGACGTCAACTGGAGTTTGTCCAATTGAAATACAGATCGACACCAACGCTTCTCATTGGTCTAAATGAAAGGCAGAAGTCAGCCAATCGCACGGGTTCTTTTTCGCGCCCAGAGAAGACTATAAGGCCCAAGCTCTGGCAGTCCTGGTCCATCCAGTTGCTAACGGCTACTGAGACTTCACCATGTCTGGACGCGGCAAGCAGGGCGGCAAGGCTCGCGCCAAGGCCAAGACCCGCTCGTCCCGGGCCGGCCTGCAGTTCCCCGTGGGCCGCGTGCACCGGCTGCTCCGCAAGGGCAACTACTCGGAGCGGGTGGGCGCCGGCGCCCCGGTCTACCTGGCGGCCGTGCTGGAGTACCTGACGGCCGAGATCCTGGAGCTGGCTGGCAACGCGGCCCGCGACAACAAGAAGACGCGCATCATCCCGCGCCACCTGCAGCTGGCCATCCGCAACGACGAGGAGCTCAACAAGCTGCTGGGCCGCGTCACCATCGCGCAGGGCGGCGTCCTGCCCAACATCCAGGCGGTGCTGCTGCCCAAGAAGACCGAGAGCCACCACAAGGCCAAGGGAAAATAAGTCACTGAAAACAAATAGCTAAGCCAAAGGCTCTTTTCAGGGCCACCTACATTTCCTAACAGAGACGTAGCATTTACCTCTGTCAATCGGATGGAACATAACAACGCCAAAACAAAACACCCGTTGTGCTCTCTTTTATGAGTGCATGGTCATGTCCACGTCCGCCAGCGGGGCCACTTTCCCCCTGCTGGGCTGTGAGGCCACCCCCCGTCCCGTGTGAAGTGTATGCCTGGACTCGGAGAGCCACTCCAGGCAGTGGTGGCTTATGCCCCTGTAATCCCCGCCCGTGGGAGGCAGAGGCAGGTGGAGCTCTGCGTTGGGGGCCAGCCTGGGCTACAGAGCGAGATCCAGAACAGCCAGAAAGAGAGAAGCCCTGGCTTGCGGGGGATGTAGGGTGGCGGGGAACAGGTTAAATACACGATAAAATCGAAAATCTGGTTTCTTTGAAACTTCTAGCTGGAATTCCTTCAGCATTTATGATCTGTTACCGCAAATGTAATTTCGTTTCACTTTCCTGTGCTTGAATTATTCCCAACTCTGTCCGACTTAAGTATTAAACCATGTGTTGTGCTGCAAACGTTTAACCCTAGCATTCGGGAGGCAGAGTCAGGCAGATCTGGAGTTGGAGACTAGCCTGGTCTGCACAACGATGAATCACGTCAGACACACTAAGGAAACGGTCTCAAAACAAGAGCGAAAACCAGTAATGACCGCAGTTTAAATGGCTCCCATACGAAAACATTTCACAGGCACGATTCATAACTGTCTCATTAGTTTACTGTTTGGTTCATTAAAAGGTATTCCAAGTTAAACAGCATCGTCCTATAAAGTGCTAAAAAGGAAAGCGTAAATGGGGAGAGAGAACGGGATTTGCTTCCTTCCTTCCCATGTATGTCCTAGACTGTTAAATTACTTAGGAAGGGTGGAGCAGGAATAAAATGGTGGGACACAGACTTTGCTCTTAAATGAAGTAAAACAGAATTGAAAGCCGCTGAATTCCTGCGCGGCTGGGAGCCCCTCCCCCTTCCGCAGGCACTTCCGCCTGGCGCTTCCTGCTTTCACTCCGGTCCGCACGTTCCCTATAAGACAGAACTGCTTTCCCTGGAAGCCGTCAGTTTGCTTTTCGGCAGCTGCTCTCTTCTTTGTCAACATGTCTGGTCGCGGCAAAGGCGGGAAGGGCCTGGGCAAGGGCGGCGCCAAGCGCCACCGCAAAGTCCTGCGCGACAACATCCAGGGCATCACCAAGCCCGCCATCCGCCGCCTGGCCCGGCGCGGCGGCGTCAAGCGCATCTCCGGCCTCATCTACGAGGAGACCCGCGGGGTGCTGAAGGTCTTCCTGGAGAACGTGATCCGCGACGCCGTCACCTACACGGAGCACGCCAAGCGCAAGACCGTCACGGCCATGGACGTGGTCTACGCGCTCAAGCGCCAGGGACGCACGCTCTACGGCTTCGGCGGCTGAGTCAGCCAGGGGTTTGCATCGTCTTTTATTTGCATAAAGGCCCTTTTTAGGGCCACCACACGTTCTACAAAGGAGCTAAACCGGTTTCCAGTGTTATTTTCCTTGCCCGGTAACCTACCTCTTAGGAAGCTTTGTGAAGATTAATTAACCCTTTCAAAGTAACGTTCCTCTGTCCTGGGGCACTGCAGCTCTACAGGAACTGGCGCTGCTTCAGGAATCCCGCGGCCTCCCCACAACCACTGGGCTGTGTTTGGAGGTCCGAAAGGTTTTTGCAATCGACATTTAGGTGTGTACGCGCACACTCAGATGCAGGCCTCGGTTTTAAGTTTTATTTCGTCTGAGGCAGACTTTTCTGAAGTAGCAATCAGAATGACTGGGTTAAAGGAGACATAACCTGGTCTCCCCTTAACAGGTAATGCATGACTGAAAATTTGGGTTCTCCAAGTTGTTGCAAGGTAGAATTAAAGATGATACCTGTAAAATGATTTGTGAATTAAACAGCCCATGGTATGTACACAATTTAAAGTAATTGCAAGTATACCGTGTTATTTAATTCAGCTGGTTTGGTTGTGATTTGCGGGGCGGGGGAGGGGCTGTATTTTGCATAGACCAGCGCATTCCCTTTTTCCAGGCCGGCCTAAAAGTTAGTCTTGCATCTGCCTCCAGAGTAGCTGGAATTACAAAAAGAAAAAAAAAAAATTCACCAGGCCATGGTGCTACACGCCTTTAGCTCGCAGAGGCAGGAGAAGGTCTTGAGTTCAAGGTCAACCTGCTTTACAGAGTTGAGTTCTCTCGGACAGCCAGGGCTACACAGAGAAACCCTGACTCGGAAAAAAAAAAAAAGAATGGTTGAGATCATAGGGGCTTGAATACTGCCATACCTGTGTGTCATATTAATCCTTAATTAACAATAACATAAATCATCAAAGAGTTCATAGTGGTAGTCCTGGAATGGAGAAAGGAAAAACTGGCAATTATTGAGACAATTGAAATCGGTTTTGTTTTGTTAAATCTTTCAGGGTTGACATGAGAAAGACATTTCTATTCACTCCTGCTCTTTGAGTGTCAAATAATACTAGGCACGTATGGCTTTTTGTTGTTTGATTTTGTTTTGTTTGAGAGAGGGTTTCTCTGTGTAGCCCTGGCTGTCCTGGAACTCTTTGTAGACCAGACTGGTCTCAAACTTACAAAGATCCTCCTGCATCTGTCTCCCAAGTACAGGGATTTTAAGCTATATGTCACTACTCCTGGCATGACTGGCTTCCCCCCCCCCCCAATTTAGAGGTTTAATTTAGAAATACCATTCAGGTAAACATGCAAATTCAGAATGCAAACAAGTGCAATGCCATCAGCTGGAGATGGACCTAAAGACACCCAACAGAACCATTTAAAACTGCACGCTGAACAGTCTGGTCCTCTCAGCCTATAGAGAGCAGAGTGAGCAGACAGCAGGCGAGGCCCACCCAGGTGTAATCCTGGTGCTTTCCGAGGCCAGGTGCTTGAAATACTAGGGGTTAGTCCGCAGAGGACATTAAGCCACTGATGCAGACTGAAGCTTTTAGGAAACACGGGGAAGGAACGGGATCGCTAACAACACACTTCACATGTCCAAAAGTAAACAGAAAGAAACAGTCTGCAAAATTTTAATGCTGTTTTCACAAACAAGTTTCTATCCAATTTGATGACTTACGGTAAAATGTACTAGAGCCTTTAAAAATGGGCATTATTCAACTATCCTCCGTAGTCTCTTCCAATGTTTTAAAATTCATCACTGTGAGTTTTTACCTAATACTTTACTGTATTTACATTTGAATTGCATGTCTTAAGAATGAACAAAATCCATGATATTTTGGTTAACTCAGTGTATTTATACCATGAAAAGTTCTATCAAAATACTTTTCACTGGAAAAAAAATAGTCAAAGGATCTACTCAAAATGCACACTCACTTGGTAGACTTCAGTGCAGGACAGCTCCTGACAAGCGTATTTGCCCTTACTCCCCAGAGCCGATCAGCTTCCGAGCTAATGGTGACATCATTTTTAGCTGAGATTTTATCGTGTTGATATCTGGCTCATTCCACATCATCTTCAGCCAAGCTCTGAGCACTCACAGTTCTCTGACTAATGGTTGGAAGCTTGGTCAGAAGCATCTGGACACTGGTGGTGGTTGTTTGCTGTCACACTCGCAGCTGCCGACTGAGGCTGTCCACACACAGCGACTGCGTGCGTCAGGTGGTCCACACCCTTCTTGTATTCACCTTGTGCTAACAACTCGTCACCAAGCTGTCCTCAAGGAAGAATTTCTGAACAGCTTCAGCATCCTTTAAGTCTGGTAACTTGGAGAGCCCAGCTCTCTCCCTAGCAAGTTTGTTTCTTTCTTCATCCTCGAAGCCTGTTTTTGAAGTCGGGGTCACTCTGTCTTTTGCGGTCAAAGTAGATGCAGTCCCAGATGAAGAGGGCCCCGCACACGCCCGCGGCGATGGCGCTGTCCCGGCCACCATCTTCGCTCGGCTGGGACAGTGCGCCCGGCCGCCGAGGCCCGCCAAGCAGCGCTTAGCTCGCAGCCTCCAGTGCCATAGTGGCTTTTTAAACACCAGCAACACAGCATGTAACCGAGGAAGTGAATGCTTAATTGTGTTTTGCTTTAGTTATTTTCCACTTAGAGTTAATCAATGCATTCAATGATCAGATTAATATTATGCTTAGCACCATTTAGGTATGTAATCTACTCTGAATCTTCTTGGATAAGAACTCAAAACAAATGAAACAGGCTTTCACTTTTAACCCCTCAGAGGCAAGCAGATCTCAGTAACTCAAAGGCAAGGCCATCACAAGATACACAGTGAGACCTGGTCTCAAACAATAAAAGTAAGATAACTGAAATACAGACAAAGAAATGTGATGTACTGTAAAAGTATAATATAGATACTGGATCTCAAACACTTAAAAACAGGGTCTACTTAAAGTTTTATATACTGAAACTATTTTTTATATAGTGGATCATATAGAACATTTTAAAATTAATGTCCCTTTTTTTACCTTGTTAAAAATGTACTTGATAACTAAATGGAAACTATGCTGTATTCTCTTGAGCAGTAAATTTAATATAGCAAACTGGGTTTATGCTTTTAGATGCAAATACAGGAATAATGCACAGAAAATCCTGGGAGAATGAACAGATTTCATTTTTCTCCTATTATATTCCTAAAGACAGAGTAAAAAGTCTCTGTTCAATTACTATCTGAGGTTGAGGCAGGACAGGGAAATGGAAAATTATAGGGATGTGGGAATGGAAAAAGAGTTCCTCACTCTGGAGTAAAAACCCTTAATCAGAAAAGAATTTCAATTTATCGACTTTCACTGAAGACCTTTCTCCCATCCAAGGTATGAAATTTGCAGTTTTCTAGGAAATCTCACCAGAAACTTTATTTACAGTTTAAAAAAAAGTGTGTGTGTGTGTGTGTGTGTGTGTGTGTGTGTGTGTGTGTGTGTGTGTTGGGGGTGGGGTCCTAACTTTTTGGAACCCTGGAGTCTTCCACTTTCATTTCATTGGGTTGTAATTCCAGCTAATACACCTCCAGACCCACCTTATAACCTCATTATCTAAGAAAAGAGGAACAGAGAGGGAAAGGTCCTTTAGAACTGTGTGGAGCAATAAAATTCCAAATAGCTTCAAACATCCTGTAGTCGGCTGCCATTAGAGCATTTGAAGTGAAACTGCACAGGATGAAGGCTGAAGGTGACTGGCCGGTCCAAATGTTACCTGAGGAAGCCAGAGCACAGCCACAGTTATCCTAAGGTATAAACTGCTTGTTACAAAATGAATTGATTTCCCCCAGAGACAGGGTTTCTCTGTGCAGCCCTGGCTGTCCTGAAACTCACTCTGTAGACCAGGCTAGCCCGGACCTCAGAGATCCACCCGCCCCTGTCTCCCAAATGCTGGGATTAAAGGCATTTGCTACCACCACCCAGTTTACAAAATGAATTCTTTTAGGGGAGGCCGGTCTAGCAAATTCAACTTTTTAATAATTTGATTATAAAATACAATTAAAATCTCATTTTAGCCAAAGTTAAGTGGGACTAATATATGGCTGAAGAGGAAGGAAATATTATATACATAAAAGTATATATAATATATATATGCAGAATTATTTAAGGTCTGTCTGTGCAGCAGTTTTGCTGTCTATGAAAGAACATGGATATTAACGATTCATTCCAGCTGTTATTCTGTTCTCTCCAGAGGAACAAAATGGGATCCAAATGAAAGGGAAAAGTGGTGGCCTAAAAGCTAAGACCTAACTCCACCCAGGTTTTCTATCAAGACAGTGTCTTTTCACAGCTCCAGAGAACCAAATAAACTTCGTAAAATCAAGATGATATATTTTCAAAAACTGCCTCGCCAACCTAGAGTGAATAAACAGCGGTATCCCATTAAGAATTCAGAAGCTAAACGCTTAATCCAATACTAATCAAATAAACCTGAAGGTGAAATTCATCATCATTCTAAAAAAAAGTCCTTTGTATCAGATGCTGGACGAGGTGGCACAGGTTTATAATCCAAAATCTCAAATGACTGAGGCAGGAGCCTAGAGTTTGCTACACAATGAATGCCAGGTCAGTCAGCGCTACATAGCAAGAATCTGTCTTTTTAAAAAAAGATTCTGTATAGTGGAAAGCTAGAATGCTTATTGCAGAAACATAAAAGTAATTCTCTTAGGTTTCTCATTCCTTTCCATGAAACTGAAATAGGCCGTTGTACTGAACTGCTGTTTTGTCCCATCACCTACTTGAGATCTGCTTAAGGGTTAGAAAGACTTTGCTATCATTAAAAGTGAAGGGGCAGAGAAGAGAAATTTGTACTGGTTGGGAAACATCATCACCGCTTACTTGGGATAGATCTCTTCTCCAACTGCCTCTGCCTTTGCTCTTTTAATTGAAAATAATTTCCTTTATATCCTTCTAGATTGCTTCTGGCATTAAAAAAAAATATACATAGTAATATCTACCTCACAGGCCGGTGTAAAGATTAAATGGGTTCATATAATACAAGTATATATATGTACCTGGCATGTTGATAAGCACTCAGTAAGTGTTAAAAATCATTTGATATGTTTTAAAAAATATTAACATGCTGGGCGTTGGTTGCGCAGGCCTTTAATCCCAGCACTCGGGAGGCAGAGGAAGGCGGATCTCTGTGAGTTCCAGGCCAGCCTGGGCTACCAAGTGAGTTCCAGGAAAGGTGCAAAGCTACACAAAGAAACCCTGTCTCAAAAAACCAAAAAAAAAAAATTAACGTAACAGGCAAACCTCTAGTAAAGACTTGGATGAATAAAAAACAAGTTCTGTATGTTGAAATTTTCCAGTCTGACCAGGTATCAGTTCATTCTGTACGCTCAGTAGCTGTACCCTCAAACCTTAGAAAACCGAATGGCAAAAAAATGTATACATATTTTCGTAATTAAATCATTTTTGGTTTTGTTTTCCGGACTCAGGGTTTCGCTGTGTAGCCCAGGCTGGCCTTGAACTCAGATCTACCTGCCTGAGCCTCGCCAATGCTGGGATTAAAGGTGTGAACCACCAGCGACCCTTTTAAATTGTTTTCCTTCAGAAACTAGCCTCGGTTTTATCACGAGACCCTCCTGTGTAGCTTTGCGCCTTTCCTGAAACTCACTTGGTAGCCCAGGCTGGCCTTGATTAAAGGCCTGCGCCACCAGCATCGCGTGACCTTGAAATTCCGATCCTACTTCCACTACCAGAACACTAACATTACAGATGTGTCCCACCCACCAGGCCAGGTTTACGCAGTGATGGGGATTAAGCCCAGGTTTTCCTGCATGTCAAGCACTCTTAACAGCTCAATTTACACCTTCAGCCTTGGCCTCTACTTCGAAATAACTAACTAGGCCAGGAAACAATACCGCTTAAAGCTCTAGTACTTCCTTTCGCCCAAAGTTCATATTACTTTTAAACTGAGTCTTTGTGGCTTCTCAGGACACAAAACTGGGCTGCCCCAATGAGACAGGTTCTTGGCATCATCCTTAGGTACTTATGCTCTACACCTGGTACCGGGACCTCCGTGTAGAACAGTTCAAGAGCCTTACTCTAGAACTTGTTCGTGTTTGCAGCTCTAATACGGACAACTTGGTGGCTCTTAAAAGAGCCTTTGGGTGTTAACACTCGCCCGGAAAGTTTACTTGGCGCTGGTGTACTTGGTGACAGCCTTGGTGCCCTCGGACACGGCGTGCTTGGCCAGCTCCCCGGGCAGCAGCAGACGCACGGCCGTCTGGATCTCCCGGGACGTGATGGTCGAGCGCTTGTTGTAGTGCGCCAGGCGCGACGCCTCGCCCGCGATGCGCTCGAAGATGTCGTTGACGAACGAGTTCATGATGCCCATGGCCTTGGACGAGATGCCCGTGTCGGGGTGCACCTGCTTCAGCACCTTGTACACGTACACCGAGTAGCTCTCCTTGCGGCTGCGCTTGCGCTTCTTGCCGTCCTTCTTCTGGGCCTTGGTCACGGCCTTCTTGGAACCCTTCTTCGGGGCGGGAGCAGACTTCGCGGGCTCAGGCATGATGGACAACAAAAGGAACGAAACGCCAACGGAAAATCCAAGGCAAGCCACACGTGCGTACTCCTTATCTAGAGCTTCGTATGCAAATAGAGTGAAGTGCCCTGTGTCTTGTTAGTGGTCACTCAGAAAAGGCTGAGTCTGTTGTTACCCAATAAGAATTCAAAAACATCCCCAAGCTGCGTTTCTATTGGTTACAATGAACTCAGTCTATCAACCAATGACGCGTCTCCTTTTTCGCGCCGTGGCTTGACTATAAAAGCCAAAGGGGTTGGCTTGGTTTTGTCCCGTAACCTTCAGTTGTTCAAGGTGTTCACTATGTCTGGACGCGGCAAGCAGGGCGGCAAGGCTCGCGCCAAGGCCAAGACCCGCTCGTCCCGGGCCGGCCTGCAGTTCCCCGTGGGCCGCGTGCACCGGCTGCTCCGCAAGGGCAACTACTCGGAGCGGGTGGGCGCCGGCGCCCCGGTCTACCTGGCGGCCGTGCTGGAGTACCTGACGGCCGAGATCCTGGAGCTGGCGGGCAACGCGGCCCGCGACAACAAGAAGACGCGCATCATCCCGCGCCACCTGCAGCTGGCCATCCGCAACGACGAGGAGCTCAACAAGCTGCTGGGCCGCGTCACCATCGCGCAGGGCGGCGTCCTGCCCAACATCCAGGCGGTGCTGCTGCCCAAGAAGACCGAGAGCCACCACAAGGCCAAATGAGCAGCTTTAGGTAGTCCTCTCCCCCAAAGGCTCTTTTCAGAGCCACACATACAGTCTAAGAAAGAAGCTGTTGCATGTAAACCTAAAAATTGACTTGAAAATGGCAGACAACCTTTTTATCTAACTTAGGGTACAGTAGTCAGGCTCTTAAGAGCTGATTCCCACTAATTACATGATCTGCCATCCAGTGTCAACATGTTTGTCTGGGTGAGGCGCAAGTATTCAAATACGTTTAACGGTTTTTTGTTTTTCTAGGAGTCCGTTTGGATTTTGAAACGGTTTCCTTGGTTTTTTTCTTTAAACAGTGCTTGGTTTTGTGTTTTGTTTGTTTTGTTTTTTTAATGAACTCACATTGTAGATCAAGCTGCTCCACCTGCCTCTGCCCCCGGAGTACTGACATTAAGGCTTGTGCAACTGCATCCTAGGCCAAAGATATTTGGGACGTCCACCATCATGCCCAGTTTTTAGAACAGCCTCACACTTGACAGGTCTAGTTAACCTTCAACAAATGACAGGATTCTTAAATTTTTCTTTCTCTGTCATCTGTTAAAAGTAGACTTTCAAGTCCCGCACTGGTGAACTCGGTCCAGTGTTCACAGTACGTTTTTGAGGATAGGCCTGGGTAATGAAGCTTAGGAAATTATCCCCATGGAAATTTCTTCCAGCTGGTGAGACGAAGGTGTGGGATGTCGGATGGTAGATGTCCCAGGAAGAAAATGCAGAACAGGTAAGTTTTAAAGAGGTTAATGGCGACTGGTATTTTAGACTTCATTGAAGGTGTCATTTGATCAAAAACAAATTGGAAGAAGATGGTTTGTTAAGTGAAGTGTGCCAAGTAGTCTACAAAGGATGGAGAGGTTAGCTCTGAAGGAACAAAGCTGCTTCCCAGTAGCCGTACTCACCAGTGTAATAAATAAATTAGGGTCCATTTTCAGTGTCAGAAGCACTTATCAAAATTATGCAGGAGCTAGCTGGCACAGGCTTTATCTCAGAATTCTGAGAGATGGAAAGTTACAGGCAATCTGCTGCATTACTGAGCACAGAGAAGGGAGCAGTCTAAGTCTCATTATTCATTGCTTAAAGCTCTGCCCTCAATTTTTAGGATGGGGAGTTTGGGAAGAGGGCAAGGCCTGAACAGGAGATTCTCCTGATAAGAGGCACTTTAAAAACCAGTCTTGGTCTGGTGAGGTGGCTCAGCGGTTAGGAGTAGTGGGCTGCCCTTCCAGAGGACCTGATTCAATACCCAGCAGTTACATGGTGGCTCACAAAGATCTGTAATTTTATCTGATGCCCTCTTCTGGCATGCAGGTGTACATGCAGACAGAGCACTCACATAAAAAATAAGTATTTTTTAAAAAGAAAGAAAAAGCTGAATTTTTTTTTTTTTTAAATAATAAAGTCTTAGCCAGTGGTTGATGTCAGCAGCCTTGCCTTTAATCCCAGCACTCAGGAGGCAAAGGAAGACAGATCTCGAGGCAAAGTCAGGTGGAGTTTGAGGCAAGTCTTGTCTAGAGTGAGTTCCGGGTTAGACAAGCCTACACAGAGAACCAATTTTGTCTTTTCTCTACACAGAATTGTATATTAAAAACTGCTTCATTTTCATTAGTCTCTTGAACTTATTATCTAATTTCCAACAGAGTAGTCATGTTCAATCCCTCCCTTGCTTTCTCTTTTGTGTGTTCTTCTCACTACCTGGGTGTGTGTGTGTGTGTGTGTGTGTGTGAAGTGAATGATGAAGTTTAGATTAGTACAGATTTTTTTAATTCCTCCCAATATTTGCAAATCCTACTGCTCCGAGTAGGAACTCAGGGGTAGAGATTCTTGCTCAGGGCCTGTCTGGAAGTGAGGGGGATAAAGTCCTCAGTCTGACACAATTAATAGCTTACAAAGCTAGGTGAGTGATCACCATAAAGAATACATGTGCTCTGAAGTTTGCTGAAAAGGTAAAACTTAAGTATTAGTGTGTTTAATAATAAATATTCTGGATTCAGTAGACTTGACCCGAAAGTTGGTGTGACCTGGGAGTCACTAGTGGGAAAGATTTCAGGGATATCGGGTCTTGTAATAGCAGCCACTTTCATGGAGAGAAGCTGGAAAGGGAGACCCAACAGCAACCCAGGAAACAAAGGAGATTCTGCATATTTCTGGCTTGAGAAAAGAGGACTCTGCCTTTAGAAAGGGGCTTTGAGTTAACGGGTCAGTGAAGGTGTCAGGATATATAAGGCAGTAACTTACAGTAAGTAACTAAGTAGTAAGCTATGCCCCACCCTTCTGTGGGGCTGTAACACGTTCATTGATCGTTCGTTGATCGGCTTTGGAAAGGTATGCTCGACAGGACGTAAGGTGTGGCTGGTCCTCCACAAGGGATCTGGCATTCAGTGTGCACCATAAGACAGGACAGAGCCTGTGTTTCAATTAGATGGGGCAGGTACGGAAATACATTCTTAGCTGGGGAAGAGGGCAACTGGTATCTGACAGGCTTGAGAGGCTAAGGACGTGACTGTGGACTTCACTTGCCCCTGTGCGGGTCCTGTTGGCATGTTATCATTTTCTATTGTTCGTCTAAAGACTTGCCTAGCAGGAATCAATACGGGTGCCTTCTGAGTGTTGAAGACAAGAAAACCCTCTGGTGCTGTGTTTCTTTCCTTTGATATAAAAAGAACCTAAGGTACTTATCTATATGACTCAATATCCTAAAATTTAAAATCTAGACATTCCTTTATTAAAGATAACATTTTTTTAACCTCACAACAGGAAAAGATCCTTTCACATAATGTTATGGGGTTTAAAAAAAAAAAAAAAAAGTGTAGGTGAGTGTTACAACTGGGGAGGGGGGTGGGGAGGAGGCATCCTGACTGCTGGGGGAGTCAGGCTATACCTTTAGTGCTAGGACAGCTTTGGTCATGCTGAGAGTCTATAGTGAGCTGGCCTGCAACTTGCCTGGAGGGAGACATGTCTCACACAGCAGCCCTGAGTGCGAATTACAGGGAATTTTTCAAGACAAAACCCAGAAAAACTACATCCAGGTTGACAGTTGCTGAGGGAAACAAGCAAGCACTTTAACTAGAGCCAAGAGCACACAGTTAGCCGGGGCGTTGAGACCCTGAGTTTCCAGACCAGTGCTTTCCCACTGGACTTTTCAGGGCTGGGGTTAGAAACCAAAGATGCCGTCAGCTGAGACAAGATGGAGAACCCTTGACCCTGTTACAGTAACTTCAAAGGTTCAATTGTGAGAGATGTGATCATCACAGAGCCAAGGACCTGATGTTAAGTAGAGAGACTAGTAACAAGCAGGCCACACAACCAGATCTGAAATCTACACTCCGCTCGACTAGAATATGAAACACAACACACCCCCTTGTTCGTCACCATGAAGAATGTGTCAGCCTCACAAAGAACATGGACAAGCAATAAGAAAAGTTCCTGTGTAAGATGTAAGCCAAAAAGCTGGGAGTGGGTTTCAGTTGGTAGAGTTCTTGCCTTGCATGCATGAGACCCTGAGTCCAGCCCCCAGCACTACAGAAAAGAAATGCAACTCAAGCGTCTAACAAACATGGAAACTGATGACCAAAATCTTTTAAATATATGTATACAGGAAGCTTTTATTGATGAGGTTTATCACTCTATGCATTATTTATTTATCACTATGTACATTATACCTCATTCTAAACAAGATTTCGAAGCAGGTGTCTGGATTTAAGAGTTGACAGTAATGAACAGTACAAAGTCCTGGAGCAAATGTAAGCTGATTATCATTTCAGTGATCAAAGCCACCACTGTCTTGTACCATCAACACCACACTGTGCTTATCAATCTTTTCTTTTTCTTCTGGATATCAGGAGGCAGAGCCAGATGGGTCTCTGTGAGTTCAAGGCCAGCCTGGTCTACAGAGCGAGATCCAGGAAAGGCGCAAACCTACACAGAGAAACCCTGTCTTGAAAAACCAAAAATAAAATAAAATAAAAATAAAAATGTGTTCTCTCTTTCAAAAAAAAAAAAATCTTCTCTGGTTATCACAGCAAGATACCTGCCTAGGAGCGTGGAGGGAGCTGAGAAAGGGGAAACACCCTGTGGCTTCACCGGAGACAGGTGGGGAGTAGTCTTGGCAAGTGCCCACAGGAGGGGTCTATGAAGCCATTAGCCTTTACGAATGGTCTGTGTGTAACTGGGCAACTTTGGGGCAGGGGCGGGGAAGAACACCTATACTCAGGGCAGTGGTGTGTGCGCCTTTAATCCCTGCACTGGAGAAGCAGAGGCAGGCAGATCTCTGTGAGTTCGAGGTCAGCCTACTCTGCAACTCGAGTTCAAGGACAGCCAGGGCTGTTACACAGAGAAACCCTGTCTCAGAGAAAAAAAGAAAAGAAAAGTTGCTTACGTGGGGAGAGGAACGGCGGGGTGTGTGGACAAAGAGGATGCCATCGACGCATTGCAGGGCATGCTGACGGGGGCTGGACTGGAAAGAAAGGGTGGGAAAGTAACCACAGGAAAGCCGCTCTCCAGGAGTCTGCATGGTGAACTCCTCAGTGGCCTCTGTCTCTCAGGGGCTGCCTTTGTGAGCGCTCTGTGAATGCAGTCGCCCCCAGTCTCTCCATAAGGAACAGGTCAGGTAGCATCAGGTGTAGCAGGTGCTTATAATGCGAGCACTTGGGGGACTGAGACAGGGTGATGGTTGCAAGTTCGAAGCCAGCCAGGGCTACGAGTGCCAGGCAACTCTGGGCTATCTAGAGACCCTGTCTCAACGTGACAGAGAAAGAGGAGGAGGAGAAGGGACAGAGGGAGGGAAGGAGGGAAGGGAAATGATCCCATTCTAATACCATGCTAAGCTGCCTTCCTCCAAGTTCGCCACCACCTTTCCACACACATCAAATCGACATGGAACCCGCACTGAGGTGCCTTTTGTCTGCTCTGATGCCCCGTCACCATGTCCAAGTTCTAGACCCTGGCAGCATTCTGAAGAAGTTGCCACATTGCACCCCACGTCTTTATGCGTGCCTCCATATCCTCCATTTAGTTTATAATCTGGAGGACAGGGAATTAGT